TCGGGAAATGGACAAAACAGCCCTAATAAATTCGAGAATACTCAAGTTCCCCTAGAATAACCGAACAGATAAAATTTTTTTGGCGCAACCTAAAATTAAACTGCAGAGCTTTAAAAGTACTACAGATAGCCTAAAACAGCGTTTAAAAGCATTCGAGAGAAAACGGTCGTTGGGTGCCCCTGATTGTTGACATAATAGAGCAGCCAAACACATAAAAATCTCTTGTCTTCCTCGAGAGTCATCACTAAAGCGTTCATGACCTTGATGAATACTTTCACAAGCAATTAAAGACATCTATATTTCACCTCGTTTATCATGTCCTTGATTTCTAGCAGAGCGGGACGGCTGTGTACAGCTATTGCTCGAAATCGATCGATATTTCCACGTGCATTCCTAAGCACCCCGGAATGCCCCGGATATAAAAAACGCAATCAACTGCGCATGCCTCCGATCTTACATCCGACAAATTTTGGCTTTTTCTCGCTATTGTAAAGAATAGGCTGCTGCCTCGCTAGGGCTCGCCAGCAATAACAGGGAAGATATGTTACGGTTTATCAAGAATGCCATGCAAGAAATTGAGAAAGAAAGTCAATGATACTTACTACACAAGTTGTTTTTAATAGCTTGCCCCTCAGAGCATGTTTTCTGGACTTCAGAGGTAACAAAGGATCCTAGTTTTGGTAAGAGGGTTTCCCCTTCGACAACAACACTGAGATTGCCTGCGTCTACCGACTTCTCCAGTTTAAGTGCAGCATTTTCCAAAGCTGATGTTGCTTCAGAACTGATATCTTTCATATTCGAGGAAGTGAGATTACTGTCATTTCTGAGGCCTGAGAGTTCAACTGAAAGACAAACAAAGGCAAAGATATTATTTATAACAATGGTTTTAGTAGCATCAATTTCCGTCAAGAGAAAACTTCTTCTCTTGTACAAGTTTCGACTCGAGGAAACCGGGGTGGAAGGACTTCGCCGCATTTATAAGAATTTAAATAGTTAGTACGGACTGGCAAACTTAATGAATTTATCAAGTAAACAACTTGGTATCATATGTCAATACCTTTGAACCTTGATGTTTCGATGGCGACCATACATTTACAGCCATGCTATTCCAAATTTGTTTCATGCCTTTATTAGCAAGTTTAACTTTCATGTTGTCAATTTTAGGGCTTTTCAGCATGGTTTTCGAGATTTTGATAAGTTCTGGGTCATTTTTTTGAAAAATAAATCCAAAATCCATGACTATGGAAGTTCTGAACGTTCAATAGAACCTTTACTTTTGATTGCCGTTGCGGATAAAATTTAAAGTTCCCTTAAATATTAATCTCAAAAGAAAACATGGGAAAATGATGCAACGTGATGTGTGAGACGTATGAGAAACCTTCTCCTTGACGTAGAAAGAGAACAACATGACTTACCAACAATATCAAATTCTACGACAGCTTCTTTCAAAACAGAACGTCGAATCCTTAGAAGGAATTCCTGCACCTTGATGCCTGGAATTCAATAAAATACTAATGGCATTAGTTATTCTGTGCGCGGTAAAGTGGCCCATTGAAGGTAGTGCTGGCAATCTTTCATGGAGAATATCGTCCTTTGGACTTTTCTGTAAGGCCCTTGATGTGCCACATAGCAGGCTACTCAAATTTGTACCCTAATTAATTGATTAGGACAAAGAAGTACATTAAAGGGAGTTCAACGCCAACTCTGAAAACTGCCGAACTGGGGAATATCAAATTCCGTAGTTTGAACTGCGTCATTTGACGTGTTAACTCCAATTTATTATTCAACTTTCATACACCGTACGAATTCCGATTTTCTGATTGGACGATTTGTACCACGTGATACTGGGTTGTGACGAGACAACCACTTTGACGTCATTATCGTGGTGTAATAGCCGTGGTGTAAATTCAACAGACCACTGTTATTACACCATGGCTTCGGCTGACTCAAATATAGTGGTTTCAATGCAGTGTTTCTTTGTGCAGTGTATTCAATTTGAATAATAAAAATGTTCACGCACTCATTGCTCGTGAATTATCGGGACTTACCTGTGCTCGTTCACTAACAATGAACTCGAAATTTTCAATACCGCACGAGGCAAAGCCTCGTGCGGTATTGAAATTTCTCGTTTATCGTTAGTGAACTCGTGCAGGTAAATCCCGATAATTCACGCACCGAGTGCGTTAAGCTGTAAATATAGCATGCATGGGAGGGAGAAAATATTTGAAGCCATAACGTCGGATATCCCTTAGTTTTGAATAGTTCTGGACCAATTGTGCGCGAGTAAATAAATAAGATGTAAGATGCACTATCCCGTTGACGACTTTAAAAGGTTAATACCTAAAAGACACATTTTCATAGATGGAAACCTAGAAATAATGGTCAAGCTTTGTTTAAAATTTCTATAACCATAAAACTAATTATGATTGTTCACATTGGTTTTAGCCCTTCCATGACCAGATAATGCAATAATATCCCTTTAAACTCACCTGAGAGACTTCGTCTTCGTCTTGTATCAATATAACATGTCACTTTCACATTATCCGCCTTACACCTGTCCCTTAAGGTATCTGCCTGACAGACCTCCTTGAAGAGCGATGCATTCAACAACTGAATAAACTGTTCCTTTATTTGTCGTTGGACTTGTGGATCTGAACAGTCTCCACTGTAGAAATGTAGCTTGTTGGTCTTTCTCACAGAAACGGGAATCGTACTCGCTGAAACGACAAAAGTGGAACCGGTTAAGGCATAAAGCACTTTGGCTCGAGCCAAACATCCTGTAAATCAATAGCAAGCTGAAAGAACTCGACAGGTAAAACGCTATTGCAGGGTAACAAACACTTTTAAAAATGCGTTAATATAGAGATTTAGCCAAGCCTAAAAGTGGAGCTCCTAAGCCGGGTTCAAAGGCCGATTAAACTAACCCAGGATATGCGAAAATTTTGATTTTGTAATTTTACGGTGAGGTTTTCCGTTTCTTTTGTTTGGCCTTCTGTTTTAAGTTTGAATAATCTCAAAGTCNCTCTTGGCATTACTTTATTGATAGGCTCTTACAGATAGGTTCGCATTACATTAATTTATACGAAACTGAATAGGCATAAACCGTCTTACCTTCAACTCTGATGCGAAAGGTGCACGAAGCGACATTACTATTTGAGTCAAAAGCAGTGTACGTTACAACCGCTGTTTCATTGAACTTATATGGTGGACGAACGCCGATGGGGCTGACAGTAACGGCTGGTGCATTGTCACTGTTATCTGTGGCTATTGGAATTGTCCAATTTGCCTCTGCAATGCCATCGATATTTAATGAAACAAGAATGTCAGAAGGACAGGAGTTCTCAAAAGACGGAGGAGTAACGTCTGCCAAAAAAATAAGGAGAAAGACTTACGTTAAAATAGGTAAGTAGTAAGTAAGTAAACTTTAGCTAGCAGTTAAGTGCGAGTCCTAGGCTAGTGTCCCATCTAGCTGGCGTTTATCTCCAGGTTGGATAGGATAACAGTGACTGTGTGACTAGGAGTATTTCCACTGTCCCCTGGACAGGACGCTAGTCCTTAAGGAGTATTTGACAAGAGCAAAGTTTGCAAGGGAGACTCGTTCATGTAGTCAACTGTTGCTGAGTTATGTTAAACCGTACGGTCCAGTGTCTAGAGACACGATCAGTCGTTGGGTTAAGTTTGTACTACAAAGTTCAGGCATTGATGTAAACATTTTCAAGCCTCATAGCACAAGGTCAGCTTCAACTTCTAAGTCAAAGCTGAGTGATGTTCCATTAGCAGATATTCTTGACAAAGCTGGATGGAAGTCAAAATACACCTTTGCTAGATTCTATGACAAAAAGATTGTAGAAGACACGTTTGCCAATAACATTTTGCAGTAATGTGTTTACTTGTGTGAAATTGTTTACTACTAGCCTGTGCATCTGTCTTTCAAGACTCGTGTGATCCCTCTGTGTGTGACAAGGTGGAAAACAGAAGTTGAACGAAACTTACCGGAAGTTGAAGTTCGACTGGGATTCCACCTTTGTCACCATACACTGAGGGATTACATGCCCTCCCTTCTCAAGTGGACCCACCCTGTGACTTACTTCCTACGATGCACATGGCTAGTGCTTTAAAGACTGAGTTCACGCCGGCGCAATGCACGGTTACCCCTTGCCTAGTTCCAAGGCCTCAAATATTTCGCCGAGGTCAATTGTTTCGGGTCACGCGGTCCGGGGCGAAACCTCTGGCCTAGGCAAAAACCCGAAAATTGAAAAGTTCTATGTTCGGTAATTACCTTGCGAAATTAACTTAACTTAGTCTGAACTATTAAAACATTCCGCCGTAGTTGAACAGAATTTATAAGTCTCAACCAGTTAGCATTTGAAACTTGATAGAGTTGGCCACTTAGGCTTCTAGTTGACGTGCATGTCAAATAAAAAAGTTTGTATCACATCATCATCATCATCATCGTCGTCGTCGTCGTCGCCGTCGTCGTCATCATCATTATCATCCTCCTCCTCCTCATCATCATCATCGTCATCATCATCATCATCCTCATCATCGTCATCGTCATCGTCATCGTCATCATCATTATCATCATCATCATCATCCTCATCATCTTCATCATCATCGTCATCGTCGTCATCGTCATCATCATCGTCATCCTCATCATCGTCATCATCATCGTCATCCTCATCATCGTCATCATCATCGTCATCCTCATCATCTTCATCATCATCGTCATCGTCGTCATCGTCATCATCATCATCGTCATCCTCATCATCGTCATCATCATCGTCATCCACATCATCATCATCCTCATCATCGTCATCCTCATCATCGTCATCATCATTATCATCATCATCATCATTATCATTACTCAGCATTTTCTCCGACTGACTTATTTGGTAAGAATGACTGAAGTTGACCTGAACTTCGTGATTGGTTCAGTTCACAATTAACCTTTCAGAATCAAATCAATGTGTTCTCGGTTTTCTGAGCTTCACAGTAATTAAAAAAATAGATGACATAAGTTTTAAATCTACTGTCCAAATTCCTGAGTCCATACATTTCCATCGAGGCTACAATTTCCGGTCCGGGGATTATTTCCGGTCCTGGGATCATTTGCGATACAATTTTGGGATCACTTGCCGTCCGGGGATCATTTACGGGCGGCCGGTATCATTTGCGGGCCTGTACATCCAAACAAATGCGCATTCTGTTATTGTCTAGGCTACTCCGGGCCGTTCGTCTGGGATACGTCACCGAAATCAATTGACCGTGAAGACCTGGGAGACAGCCGTACAGGAACTACGCAAGGTTACCCCCACCATTTAATTAATTCACTGGTTCCTGTGAGATACACTGACCCCAGCTAGGGCTCAGAGCCCAGCCCAATCAGGAGTCCGCTCCGCTGATTATTAGGCCGCGCCGCACCTCCCAAAAAGGGTTTATCTGTGTGTGTGTTTTTTTTAATTTTTTTCAGTGCGACAGCTTCAATTCTTAAAAAAAAAATGAATTTTCTGGAGTATTCCGTTGGAAGTAGGGAAATCATAAGATACTGCGCGTGGATTGAGGTCAGAAGCAAGACCCAAATTGTGTGCAGCTTAAAATAAGACGATTGAAGCAAAAGGGCAATATTCGAATAAGACAACCAAACACAAATGAAATATCAAGTATAAATAGCCCATTCGACTCTTTCGGCTTCGCCTCATGGGTTATTGACTAATTAATTGTGCGTGCACTAACTTTAGCGTAAGAAGTACTTTATTTTCCAAGTTTTCTGAGTTGCCTTTGGCTGTTCGATGGCCGTGCCTTATCAGTGCGTAGTTGTAGCTTACCTTCACACTGCAGAATTTTGCTTGTGTCGTTACTCCATTGTCCATTTGATCCACAGAAAAATTGATCCACGCCACTGACCACTCTAAATCCAACGTGGCAACCCACTTTGCAAGATGATCCTTGAACAGGCCTTTCAGTAGAACAAAACCAGGGCGAGATCCAGCCATGCTCGGGAGCCGAAAGAACACTGCATCTTTGAACTTCACATGAATAAAACACACTTAATCTTTCATTAAATGATATAGAAAACACACTCAATCTTACATTGAAATGGTAAGAATAAAATAAAATTAGCACCCCAGAAATGCGCTATTAAATTGTTACTTAAGAAGATTTGCAATAGAAAACCCCGAAAATGTACGTCCTCTCCGTTCAAAGTTGGCGGAAAATCTCTCTGAGTCACAATTGCAGGCGCAACCTCACATAGTTACAGTGACCTTACATATTGAATTAATGAGACGGACGGTAATTCACTGAAATAGAAACTAATAGCCAACCGTGTGACATTGACACTAGCAAACAACGCATTATGTCATCCATATGTAGACAACTTTTTTTTTGAACCCCGGAAACAATAACCTAAGGAGAAATGTTCTAGTTCGTTTTTGGACATGAAAGAATTTTTGCTTGGAATCTTTCCTGCTTAAACTAGACACCTGGTAATACTTCTATAAGCTCCTTTTTTCCAATTTTATGTACATATCTCATTCTCTTAATAGCTTTTTTTCTCTTAAAACTCCATAGAAACATAACAACTGGAGGCTGACTAGAAAACCCTTGGTTACTTCAGTTTCCAGACTCATATAGTACACTTTTTTTTTTGTCTTTACATTTCACTAATATAAAAAAAAACTGTAAATCTGCGAGTAAATTAAAGTTATTGTTGTAGTTACCTGGATATTTTAAAAATATATCACAAATCAAATCCTAAACTTACTTCTACAAGATGGTTCAGTTCCGTCCCAGTGTCCTAGTATTTGATCGGGCGCCTTAAGCACACACGTGCGCTTCGTAACTCCATTCTGTAAAATGTACCCTTCTTTGCATCCAAAGCTGCACACGGAACCAAGTGTGTTGTTGCAGTTACCGATAATGAAGCCATTTCGAGGTGGAAAAGGAGGCCAACAGTAGATAACTTTTATAAAAAAAGGTGAAAATAAAATTAAAGCGTCATTATAGAAGTACACCTCTCAAACTCATTAATAATTGATCAAGGTCAAACAAAGGAAACCATCACTGTGACGGTGTTTGGATATACATGTATGATTGTAATTAGCATAGATTTTTACGATTTTATTTCTCCGTTTTCTCCTCAGTTTTAGTTTCGACTGAGAAGATAATATCAAATACTCAAGACAGTGTTTGACCATATTACAAAACTCCTCGACGTTTGTCAAAAATACTCCGCTGCGAGTCGTATTTTCAACCCTCTTCTCGGTGTTTGGAAATGTGGTCAAACAAGGTCTTTCGTGTTTGATATATTACATGTAAACGTTTTCCACAAATTCAAGTTCAAGTTCACTTTAATTTAATTAATTACACTTATTTCAATTACACAAGATTCGTTTTGGTTAACGAAGAAACAAAATCATGAAGAAAACAAATGTTAAGTTACATTTAATTAGAAAACAAGTATGTAGTGGGTAATGGAGAAAACACTTTCGACTTGATGACTTGGCCACTGCTAAGCAAGATAAAATTATCTTGAAGAAAATAGAATATGCAAGAAATGCAAATAAAGTATTTTGATTAAAAAAATTATATATTCCAATTAAAGTATTTTCTTTTCATCCAAAATTATCATCATTTTGTGTAGCGGTGGCATTTGTTTTTATTCTCTTGTTAAGACTTAGGTATTTAAAGTGATCCTTTACGTAAGCTTTATTGGCTTCCCTGGGCTTCCTTGCCTAATATACATTGATGGGACAATAACTAATTAGTGAATCGATAAACTAAGAGTTGAGCCAAGGACGTCCTCAAAGGGATACTGCATGGGAACATGTTTTCAGCATCCTGTGATCATAATGACTTTCGCTCAAAATGATTGATAGTAAAAGTGGAATCAAAGTCCTATATCCAAAGTTACACACGGATCCAAGGGTGTTTCTGTAGTTTCCAATAGACGAAAAACAAAGCAAAAGTTTTGTTAGCTAAGTACTGATATGTAAAAATATTCCACAAAGCAATAAGTTAGTACCAGGGGATAATCCTCCAAAGTATGAGGCATTGACAATAAGCCTGTCCCGATTGTGCTCTTTGCAACTTTTGAGCAACTTTTGGCGTTTGGCGCAACTTTTTTTTTGTTCTAGGAACCTCAAGCAGGTTTTGCCTCTCTGAGCAACTTTTGAGCAAAGTAAAGATTAAGAGCACGTATCAATCATGAAAAAGTCATCGATTTCATATAAAACTTCAACTTATGCGAACTTCTTGAATGAATGTTTATCAACCAAGTTTGAACACATAACCAGTCAGTTGACAGCGTTCGGCAAGAGGTCAAATGAACCATGCGTTTTGTTCCGTTAGACTTAACAGTGTCTTAAAATTTCGCCCATATTTGCGAGGAACTCTTTAAAGCTAAGTTTCAAGCTATTTTTTTTTTTTGACTGATGTTAGCAATTACTTTGAAGAACGAAAAATGAAGCTTTTAATTAACGGGTATATAAAAATATCAAGAAATTTAAGCGACATCTTTTGAAATTTAGGTAGGTACTTTTTGAATTTTTGGCAATTTTCTAACAACGTTTTGGTTTTCCAGTGAGCAACTTTAATTTGCAGCATTTTACGAGCACAATCGCCGGGGACAGGCCTAATGTAATTTAGAACATGATTTCAGCATCGGTGATCACATTGAGGTTTGCTCGAAATGATTAATGATAAGACTGGAATCAAAGATTACTAAAATACTCACATCTCACTTGAATTGAAAATTTACATGTGTCTTCGTTTCCCGCTCCATCCTTAGCAATGCATCTTACCACGTGTTCTCCGATGTAGTACTTGTCTCGTATTCCACTACAGCTAACAAGAGGCTGTTGACCTGAATTGTCTGTAGCATTGATAGTAGGCAGTTTTATTGTGGTGTAGTCCACTGCACTGTCAGCATATTCCTCAAAGTTTCCAGGACAAAGCGTAAACGCAGGTTTCTCAATATCTGTCACAAAAAAAAAAAAAATCAGCTCGGAAAAATGCTTCGCTACCCCCAGTTTTCTTTGTGGATTCCAATAGCCCTTGCTAAGATATACTTTTTCAGATTGTCTTAATCTGGGGAAAAGAGTAAAACCACCAATCAGTCGTCAAAACATTCAACTGTTGTAATTGTTTCAAGGGCAATTCTATCGTTTATTTAACTCTCTAACAAACAATCCGATTAACACCAACACGATTCAGAACATCTCTATTATAATTGCAGACAAAAACTCCTTAAAAGTGAAAGAAATGTTGTCCAGTACCTTTGCAAACAACGAGCGCATTGGACGACCATTTGCCAGAAGAAGAGCAAACCCGTATTTGTGACCCGATGACTCGGTATCCTCTCTGACAAGTATATTGACAAAGAGTTCCAAATGGAGGGTTGTTGAGGCACTGACTTGGTGTGACACTGCCGTCTTCAGGTGGAGTTAGGGAGCTGCACTGGACAACTGACATTAAATAAACAAACAGAAAAACATTTTAAAAGCACGAAGGTGCATTACTATATTTGCTAAGTTAATATGAAACCCGACAAAAATGAAAGTGGTTCGTCGACATAAGAATGTAAATGCCAGCTTTAATCTGTTCAGGTTCTGGGTGTTAGTCCGTGTTCGGGTTTCGGGTCCGGGTTCCGGGTCCGGGTCGGGGTCCGGATCCAGGTCCGGGTCCGGGTCTATCATCTTAACATCGGTCCTTGAGAAACAGTGCCGCTTGACAACTTACCTGTGCAAGTTAGAGGTGAACCTGACCAAGTACCATATTCCCGACAATGTCTCTCTTTTGTTCCACTTACAGCTTTGTATCCGTGTTCACAGTAAAACAGGCATTTATCACCATAGGAAATTGACGCCCTTCCACATCCTGACATGACCACATTGGCTGGCGTATTCAATTTATCACATTTCATAACTGAAAAAGAACATTTAGCATGTCACTTTTTTATCGTTGTTATAATATTTTGGTAGTTAAGTATTTTGGTATGTTAAGTTTTTAAAGTAGTAAGGACTTCATGGTTTCAAACCTTTTTTTATTGTTTCTATGGGATATGATTTTTTTATAATAACAGAATTGTCAAATACTTGTGAAAAAAAAGGATCGTGGCAAGTCTAACGCGACGTTTCGTCTCGGCCAAGAGACTCTTCAGAGACCTTATTTATGAATTTATGAATTTATGAATTTATGAATTTTGCTCGAACTTTTTCGCTCAGACGATATGCGTGAGCAAATACCTGCTTGATCACTTGATTGATCGACCGACCTACCCACCAACCCCTCGACCGACTGGTCGACTGATCAACCGACCCACCGACTCACCAACTCATCGGCCAACTGACCGACCGACCAACTGGCTGGCTGCCTGACTGGCTGATTGGTTATATGGTTGGTTGGTCGACTAATTATAACTGACTGACTGACTGACTGACTGACTGACTGACTGACTGACTGACTGACTGACTGACTGACTGACTGACTAGCTGATTAATTGATTGATTGTTTGATTGATTGATATCCACGTAGTAAATATATCACAGGCTTACTTTCACAGTGTGTCTCATTTCCAGTCCAATAAGCAGGTGGCTTTCCGTCTTCAGCTTCGCACTGGCGTTGAACAGAACCCCTGATACTGTAACCATTTCGGCATGTAAACGAACAATTTGATCCGAAACGATTTCCATAAGAACACGACACTATGCCACTCCATGGAGCTATCAGCTTTGGTACGCAGTACAACACTGAAAAATTGGGAACCTTTAGTAAGTTTTAACGAAATTAAGCGAATAGCAGTTAAGAACAATTAAATAACAAGGTTGTAACGTGGAAAATAATTTTATGATGAAATTTATTATCAACCGAAGGATTTCTTCCCTTTCAATGGCGGAGAGCCAACTACCTACAAATAATATTCTGCCATTGAGTTATACCGTCTTGACGTGTTTTGCTGCAAATTATATTCTGCTCATGCGCAATTTAAACCACCTTCTTGTGTAAAACAACGATTGAACTCGGTTATCGCAAAATGTCGTGATCTGTAAGTGTCTCGCAGATCAATTATTTTCCGAATCGGAAGGCTGAGTTAAAAAATAGATCTGCTCGTCACTGACAAATCACGATATTTTGCTCAACCTCGTCCAGTAATTGCTTTTTGATTTTTTTCTTTTTTTCAACTGTTCCCTTCGTCTATTTACGACACCTTGCCTTATCTTACCACTATGCCGGTACTATCTTACTGTGCGACAGAACTTGTATTGGACCGTTTGACAAATACAGGTTCGGAAGTCTTAGATCGTTGCGAGTTGTAGCAAAAGTAGAACTATCTTGAGCTTCGATGGTCAAAAGAAATTGGTCTAGATCGACCTGGCATTATCAACTAGAATTGAAATGACTTTACATAAATGAAAATCATTACGGCAACTTTATTATATGGCTGTGTCTCACAAGCACTGGGAACTACCACATTCACGAATTTGTTTGGCTGAAATCGATATTGGAAGTGGTCTAGACCCATCTATACCGGCATCTAGATCGGTAATGAAAAATGAAAAAGTTGCAAACTGAAATGCAAAAATATTGACTATTTTCTTCTAACAATATTTATTTATGGAAGTGCCAAAAGGCCTGATGAGAAAAAAAAATAACCTGATGAGAAAAAAAGTAAAGAGGACATCATCGTCGTTCGCAAGCAAAATGTCAGCTAATACAAACCAGTTACATTAAATGAATTAAATTGTTCTCGTTTGCCATATAATAAACATCTTAGTTCGTATAGCGTGATCGTCCGGGTGAGGGTAGTTCTGAAAAGAACTGTTGTTGGTGACTGACGTTTCGACAACCTGAGCGGAGGTCATCTTCAGAGTCAAGTGAATAGGTTTTGTCAGTCGATAATGTTATAAGTCTGATCCGTTGAACATGATTGGTCAGTTCATGATGGTATTGGCTGAAAGACTCGTGTAAAGTTTGTCGTCAGTCATTGGTGGGTTTCGATCCGTCTATTGTTAGTCAAATTAGTCGGTTTTTGGTC